ATTATTCAGCAGAGTCTCAGTGAACATGATTAGTTCTCTTAATCTTATTTACAGTTGTTGTGAAGACCTCTGCTTAATTACAGATATCTCAAAGCTTTATTACTATATTATCAGTGATCTGAATTAAACTGCAGAGATTTAATATAAACTGTGTAATCTCTAGAAGATTCAACACTTTTATGTGATATCTGTGTGTAAGAAAGAATAAGCTTATGTCTATTGAAACAGAATCTCATTCATTGATAGTGATCTCTGTATGTAGAAGCAGATCATGTCAATTATCTTATAAGTGATTACAGAACTTGTGAAGATAATTCTTTACAGTCTGAATTATCTATTCTGACACATTATCAGTCTCAGAGTAATAGACAGTTAATAGACAGTATATAATCTTAAGAATTTGACAGATTCTTGTTCAGAGAATGCTTATAAATTAACAGCTCTGATCTGATACTATAGATCTCAGTAATTTATATATCTGATAGAATAGGCTCTGTGGAAAAGCTTCAGTAACTTATTCAGTATTTATCTTATCACAAGATTTCAATATTATATCTTTGCTTAATTGATTCATAATGATCAGAATGTTTCTATAATTCTTACTCTTGAAGAGATTAACTGTGAAGTCAATTATCACATCTTATCAGATTTTATCAGAGATATTGAGTGATTTCAGTAGACCTTTTCTACAGTTCTTTCATGAGATGATGAAAGAATAATGATTACAGTTTTAAATAAAACATCTGATGCTGTTTAATATCTCAGATCAGTAGAACTCTTGAGAGATTATTTAATACAATTGTTTACAATCTGAGTGATTAATTATATATAAATTATGCATCTCTTGCATTATCTGAGTGTATCAGAATTCAGAGTAGAGAACTCAACACTGTTTATAAAACTGCAGAGTATTATTATCATCAGTTGAATATTCTGAGATATCAGTTCTTATACATAGTTCTGAGTGAAATCAGAGTGCTTCTTGATATACTGCTTCAGTGAGAGTCTGAAGGAGTTCATCAGTCTGAGCTGCTGTATATCACAGTTCATTCAGTGTAGAGAAAGTGAAGATATCAATGTCAGTATTAGTTCAGAGAGAAAGTGTTCTAATCAGAGAAATATATATAGTATCATGAGTTGTTCTATCTTAGTTGATCAATATCTTTGAGTCTAAGAGCTGATGTTCTCAGTTCATTCAGTGTTTGTCTATCACATTGAGTAGCATATCTCGTTCTTATTATAAGAGAGTGTCTGTCATCAAGTTCTGACTGTCAGAATGATAGTGTATTATAAAATGAAAGCAGCTTAAGAACTCAGATCATTGCATCTATTATTTAATGAGTTTATAGATAGTTATAAAGTATTTGAGATTCTTATAATCTGTGACTATCTCAAATTCAGAGATACTTCAGAGTTCAGAGTCTCATTCTTCTAAACAGTATATAATTACAAGAAGTTTCTTATCATAGATCTCATAATTGCATTCAGTAAGACTCAGTTTCTTAGATATAAAGATATATGATTGTAGAACATCTTCATCATCATATTATAATATCACTTCTTCTATTACATAGTCAGAGAAATCAGCTTCAATAACTATCTTATGATCAGGATTGAATATTATCAGTAAAGAGATATTAATGAATATCTTCTTTATCTGTGTAAATGCAGCTTCAGTATCTGCTAATCATTGAAATACTGAGTCTTTTTTAGTGAGTTCTGTAAGTGATCTTATAATATCTGAGAAGATTTATATAAATCACTGATAGAAGTTAGTAAATCTGATGAAGCTTTATACATCTTTCACAGTGTATGAGACCTCTTATTCAAGAATAGTATCGACCTTCTCAGAATTCATTTGAATTTCCTTGCCAGCTTCTATGATGAACTCTCAGTATTTAGTACTCTTGACTTTGAAATCATACTTATTAATATTAATTGATAGTTCTGCTTCTCATAGTCATTGTAATACTCTTTGCACATACTCTTGATATTTCTTTCTGAATTCATTGATGAAGATAAGAATGTCATCTAGATAAGTAGATGCAAATTTATCAAGAAAGTCTCAGAGTGCTCAGTTGATATACTTCTGAAATATACTGAGAACATTAATCAGTTCAAAGAATGTGACTACTCATTCAAAGAGATTATATTATGTTCAGAATACTGTAAGTCACTCATCTTCTTCAGTGATATAAATCTTATTATTATTATTATTATTATTATTCTTTAATTATAGATGTATGCAGTCAGAGACTATGACATCTACCTGAGAACTTTTAGTTCTCAGGGTTTTTCCTATGTCAGTAAAGTTAACTATTATACATTCATCAATTTCAGATATGCAAAATCAGAAAATTCCAGCTCAGAATACAAAAACTGTTTACAAATTGCAGTGTTTTAACATCTTTTGATACTTTGAAATCATTTGACAATATCATGACAAAGGAAAAGAGAAAAGGAACACAGTCTCAAAGATAGACACATTAAATAGATAGTATAGAAAGAAATTGAAAGGAAAAGATAAAGAAAAAGATAAAGTAAAGAGAGACTATAACAAAACAAATTATTAAAAGAGAGAGTGTATAGCTGTTTTAACAGACTATATCTGATTGATTTCCTCCTCTTCATATTCAGATAATTCTGAATTTAGCCATTTTCTTGTAGCTGCTTGAGTTTCTGATAGAAAGTCTATTAAGTATTTAATTCCTGTCTCAGTTGAGAATAAGAATCTCATATTTAATTGATTTAGATCATACTTCTCTTTCAATCTGACTCTAAGACTATTGTATAATGCACAGTGTATTACAATATACTCAGAATTCTCATTTATATTGCAGAATGAGCATTCTATTGAGTCAAATCTATCATCAAATCTTTGTATATAAGATTTGAAATAGCCATGTTCTAGTTTCAGCTGTATTATAGATGAGAATATTTTCTTTTTACATTTAATTGAACAAGATTTCCACTTGAGTTTTGTTTCAAATCTTGAATAATGTATACTCTTCTTTTGTTTCTGCCAGCTTTCATTCCACTTGTCTAAACAAGATTCTTTTATTTTTCTCTTTATAAAAGACCAGGACACAATTTTTTGAATAGATCTGCTTAATTCTGCACCCTTTTTTGCAGCTGAATCAGCCAATTCATTGCCATGAA